TATATATATATATATATATAGTACCCCACCCCATTCTTCTTTTTTTTTTTTGACTATTTGAGCTCAGGTAACTAGTAAATTTCTCCACTGTGAGATCAATAAAGTGAATCAATCAGTCAAAGGATGGTTTTCAATTAGAATCCACTAAGCAAATGTTGCTCATGTCCATCTTTGCTAACAGACTTGTGTTTGATCCAGATCTGGAATAAATATAGGTTTCTGATTGTTATTTTTTTTAACCTAAATCTCACTATTTGTCTCACCTGTAAAACAATAGATGTGCTATTCTTTTTTCTTTTCTATCGTTCTCTAACATTTTAATTTTTTTAAATCGTTTTATCATTTTAAATACACTAATTAGTTTTGGTCAGTACACATTTCATTTCCAGTGTTGTCAGGATAATTTGTCCGGAAATGGAGGACGTGGCTCCCGGAAGAAGGAAGCATCCTCCGCATCAGGCTGCCTGCTGCTGTTCTGATCAGAAAGTGGCCGCAGCAGCTCTGCATTGGAGGAGCTCAGCGGACTGGACCTGTGTTGTTGAAGGCAGAGCTGCTCTGCGGTGAGTGGAACGCCGCCATGTTTATGTTTGATCATTTTTATTGCTGACAGGCAGCAGTCATGCTCCTCTGCAGGAGTCTGGTAATAAACCAAGTGTTACCTCGTTTTATAAATGGGGGCATTAGGACGGTGAGTGGGACATCCGTTCACTTTGCTGGTCTGTTTCATTTTTAGCCGTTAATGTTGAACAAAATGCGGCTAATAATCCTGGTTATGTAGGGGAAACCATTAGCCGGTTAGCTGCCTTTACCTACTGAGGTGCCTCTTGGTTTGCATTTTATATTATAGCTGTAATCAATAGGGGCATAGATGATGGATTTGGTAACTAAATTCAATGTGAGTATTATTAAAAAGCATAAACAATTTGCAGTTAGCTAGCATTAGCTTACAGGAGAAACGTTTACTACCTATAATATTTCATTTGGTCACGCGCGCACCTGGCTCGCAGATTTTGCTGTCACGTGACAGGGCGGCGTTCTGTCAGACCAGCATACCTTTTCTCCGTCCCCTTTATCCCTCTAGTTTTGTACGAAAAATAGTCTAAACTACCTTAACAGGCGTATATTCATTTAGTCATTCAAAAAACAACAACATTCTAATTACGAATTTTTTGTTGTTTTTGAGGCTTATGGCGATTTTACCTTAATTTTTTTCGTACATGACTACAGGGATACATACAACGACGGAGCATCAGGGCCAGGCTAGATTTTTTTTTCTTTAATTCCGACAATAAAGTCCTAACATTGCGAGAATAAATTTGTAATGTTACGAGAATGAAGTCATCAACTCCAAACAGCAGATCATGGCCGACCAGCTCCACCAATCAGCAACCTGAGTCCCAATTTGACATCTTGCCCAGTTTGATGCTGCTGCTAAAAGATTTTATTATTGGTCAAACCAGATGCCAAACAATAACTTCACATGATGCTCCACATTCCTCATTTAAGGGAACAAAGTGCTTCTTGTAGGAGTTGTCATAAAATACAACTTGTTTCTCCTAAGTTTTGGACTTTATTCTTGTAATTTTAGGACTTTATTCTTGTAACTTTACGACTTTATTCTCATGATTTTGCGACTTTAATCTCGTAATTTTAATATTTTATTCTCGTAATTTTACAGCTTTATTCTCATGATATTACGACTTCTCACAATTTTACGACTTTATTTTCGTAATTTTACGACTTTATTCTCGTAATTTTGCGACTTTATTCTCGTAATTTTACTATTTTATTCTCCTAATTTTACGATTTTATTCTCATAATTTTATGACTTTATTCTTGTAATTTTACAACTTCTTATAATTTTACGACTTTATTATTGTAATATTACGACTTCTCGTAATTTTAAGACTTTATTCTCGTAATTTTAAGACTTTATTCTCGTAATTTTATGACTTTAGTCTCGTAATTTTATGGCTTCTTGTTAGTTTACGACTTTATTCTCGTAATTTTATGACTGTTCTCATTATTTTACGACTTTAGTCTCGTAATTTTACAACTTTATGCTCGTAATTTTACGACTTTATTCTCGTAATTTTACAATTTTATTCTCATAATTTTATGACTTTATTCTTGTAATTTTACAACTTCTCATAATTTTACGACTTTATTATTTTAATATTATGACTTCTCGTAATTTTAAGACTTTATTCTCGTAATTTTAAGACTTTATTCTCGTAATTTTACGACTTTAGTCTCGTAATTTTATGACTTCTCGTAATTATATGACTATTCTCATTATTTTACGACTTTATTCTCGTAATTTAACAACTTTATGCTCGTAATTTTGACTATATTCTCGTAATTTTACGACTTTATTCTCGTAATTGTTTGGGTATATTCTCATAATTTTACGACGGCCAGGCTAAATATTTTTTTTCTTCTGTTACCATAATAATGTAATAAAATTACGAGAGTGCAAAATAGTCTACTGTCAAAGATGACGCCCGGACTCTTAACCTGGGGGTACGGTGAGATGGTGGAGTTAAGGATAAGGTGGATTTGGTGCCAATGAAGTGAACCTCGGTTTTAGTGCCGTTTAATTTAAGGACCTTTTGGATGAACCAGGTTTTAACTTCACAGATGCAATCAGTCAGGGAGGTCAGTGGATGGGTGGATGAGGGTTTAGTAGTGAGGGAGAGCTCGGTGTCATCAGCATAACAGTGGAAATTAATGTTAAGTTTGCCGAAGATACTGCTAAGGGGAAGGAGGTAGATGATGAAGAGGAGGGGCCCCAGGACTGAACCCTGGGGGCCCCCTGATGTGACTGAAGAGGGGATCGATATGAAGGATTTTAGTTGAATGAACTGAGTGCGGCCAGAGAGGTAATGGTGTCGTTTAAGAACAGAAATAGTTATGAAATGTCTTCTAAACCCTGGAGGCTACATGACCAGCTCTCCAACGTTGTCTTCCAGTTTAGAAAGGGGTTAAAACATATTTTTTATCCCACCTTTTTCACATTATCAAGTGTTTTAAAGGCCGGTTGCAATTGTTTCATTTCCAAAGGGCAGGCTGCTCTGGTATCCTAACCTTACTCCTGTATATTTTGCCATTTTAGCCCATTTTTACTCTCTGAAAGAACACATGCCTCTGATCTCCTGATGCCTTTTTTGGTTCTGCTGCGACCAGCCGGATTCAGCCACATGTTGCACAGGATACTAGATTTCATTTGTCAGCATTTTTTTTCACTTGTCAGCATCTTTTTTTTCTTTTTTTTTTTGGTTTTTTTCTTTTTTTTTTTATACAAGGATTGAAGGAGCTTATTTTTTTGGCTTGCAGCAGAAATGTTATGGAGTGAATTTTGTTGTAGCATTGTTGCAAGCAAGGAAAACGTTTTGGAAAGAAATTTCACAAAAGAAATATGCAATTCACTAATGAAACCTTGAAAAGCTTTTTAATAATTTCTTTTTTTTCATAAAAAAGAAATTATTTTATTTTCAAAAGTTTTATTTTTTTTAATTTTATGTAACAAATTTCTTTTCTTGAAATTGAGTTTTATGAAATAATCATCCAGATCGTATTCTCTTCAGTTTTGGGTGAGGATTTTCCTCTGAAGTGAGGAGTAAAGACGCGTTTGAAATGAAGTGAATGTAATCTATGAAACATTATTTGTAAAACGGGTCACACTGTGTGGTCTGAACATAAACATACTTATGAATTTTGTTCTTTGAACCTTCAGGTATTTAAACATTCTCTTCTCGTTCCTTAAAGGCGTTTTGGAGAGGCATGAATGACTTTGCAGTTCTCAACACTGGGCGGAAGATGCCCCTGATTGGACTGGGGACCTGGAAGAGTGAGCCGGGAAAGGTAAAGGCTGAACGTTTATCATCCGTTTATCATCCATCCATAGTGCTGTGTTCAGGGATCCGGATCTAAAATGTCTATGGAGGGAATTTCTTTCCATTATTGTTGCAAAGAACATGTGTAAATAGAAATTATTTATAAAAAATAAAGCCATCCATATATTAAACTTTACAAAATGTATCAATAAAAAGGGTTTTAGAGGGTTTCCACAGGTCATTAAAAATCATTAAAAGTAATTAAATTATTATTTTTTTAAATTTAATTAGCATTAAAATTCATTAAATGTGCTTATCGTTGCATTTAAAATGCTTTATTTTCGTCGGATATATCAGGTGTTTGCGTGGAACTGCTTCTGGTTGATCGTAAAGCTGTACGTTTAGAAAAGAAGCGCGAGGCGGAGATAAAGCTAGAGAATGGGGAAAAATGAAAATTTCAATAAAAGTGGCTGGAAAAGAAATTATTCTTGACATCGCTGCCGTGTTTTTATATATATATA